AATATACATAATTATCGTCAATTTATCTTATATAAATTTAGCCCCTGTTTGGAGGGGATTAATATTAGATTTTTAGTAGATTTTGATAAAAGTTTTTGAAATGTATGGTTGAAAAGTTGAGACCCATAAAAAGATGTGATTAATATTGATTATTTGATTTTAACTTAAATTAAAATATGATTTAAATCAATACCAAACAGGAGCTTAATATTATCCATGATGAATTTAATGTCTGAAGCATAATTCAAGTGATAATATCATAGGAGAGTAAATACACGTAATCTTTTTTCCTTGACCAACGTTTTAATTCATTTGATTTTTTGATCTAGATTTTTAATGAGACAACTTTTTATAGCGTGCTTAAAAGAATAATGTATTATTTTTTCTTTCATTGGGATTTTTTGTACAAGGTTTTTACATATAAGGATTTAATGAGGCATAGTCCTTGTGTAATAAATGTCCATAACATACAAAATATTTACTCTTATAATAACTCTAATATGTATGAGACTTTCAAAATGATCAACCAGAGTTATTTTTCGAATCATCATGTTACGACAGTCATTGAAGGTTGATAAATATTTTGTAAGAAAATGGTTTTCTTTGAACACATTGACGTACAAGATATGAATATTAAATACATTGACATACAAGACATGAATCACTTAATACAAGAATTGAAATCGGTGGGAGTACCTATACTCTTTTTCCTTTAATCAAATTCTGTCATTGGATTTTCTTGACAGAGTTTTAACGATACAACATTTTATTACTCCAAAATATTTTTTAATATTTTTTCATTTGTTGGTATTTTTGTCACATTGCATTCTTGCCAAATAATATTTCAATAAGATAGTTATTATGTAAATAGTCATTCAAATGGAAGTATTGTAAATATAGTAGTATTTATGAATGACTTTTACATCCTTACAGCCTTAGTCATTATAACTATTGTATCTCTTGTAGTCTTAATTTTTCTCTATAATATGATAATTTGAATATTAAGAAAATACCCAAGCTTGTTGACTTCTCTTTTATTTTCTTTTTTCAACAAATTTCATAAAATGTAAGATTAAAAATGAGTTTGAAAGAAGAATTAATTTTAAGAAGTGGAGCCAAACACGAGCTAATAATTGTCCAATAGTTGCTTCGGTACATAATACTTACAAGTAAATAGGGACCCCACTCCAATCTAGAATCACGCTAGATGTACAGAATTCCTTCATTAGTTACAGTTGAGATCAATTCATTGAAAGTCACAAAAAAAGAAAAAGGAAAAGAATCAGGCAGATGCTGCTAAATTAGCGTATGTATCACATCTGTGAAGGAAAAGCTAGTATATATGGCTTTTTCCATTAAGTATCGAGGAGTGCTCTTCAAGGCTCTCACAATAAATAAGCTCAATTTAATGAATTGATGAAGCGGACCCATCATTAGCAGACATCACGCCATATAAATGATAATTAGCAAAATCTTTTAAAATCCATCATTTTTGTAGTGCCCCAAATTATTAATACACACCATGTGAAATTCTTTTTTACTACTTATACATAAAATTCTACTGTAGTTTCACTTTTAGGTAACATCTCTATCTTACTAAGGCCTCGTTTGGAAGTGATTTTTCACCCCCAAAAAATTAATTGTTTGACCGTTATTTTACTATTCCAACCGTAATTTTTGACTTCCTCTCTTATAGGTGGTCTCCACTTTTTTCGTAACGGTCAAAAAATCAATTATTAAAATCACTATCGAATAGGCCCTAAGAGTTTTGAATAGTGATTTTTAGGAAAATGTGTAATCAAAAAATAGGAAAAATTTTAGATTTACGTGTAGAATATTTCATTGTGTGAATGTGTGGTTAAAATAAATATGTAAAAAAAAAAAAAGAATAAAAAAAGTATGATTGTCAAACAAGAATTAAATAATGATGGATGGTAAGTGTATTATCTGTAAATATTACACTTATCTTGGTCATTAAAAATAACATTTGGACATGATTATCATGAATTTGATATTTAATTATGCTTAGTTATTAATTTCACTTATTGGCCATCAAAAGTAGTATCTGGAACGAGAATGGATGAAAATGAGCAATAATTGATCAAAAAGGATTAAAGATGGACATATTCTGGAACTTGAGGACCGAAATGTCACTTTTGAAAGTTAAAAGACCACAATTGCAATATTCAAGGACTCAATATGAACAATAAAGAAGAAACATAGACTAAATTGAACATGTAGAAGATTAATTTTCAGCGAATTAGAAAAATCCTAATTTGACCACAATTATGGTTCCTTATCCTTTCGAAACTCTATTTTCTTCAAATTGTTCATTTGAAAAAAAAAAAAAGAAAACCCTTAAATTAATGTCTATAAATATGAATCTTGCTTTTAAACAAAAGGAGAAGGCTAGAGATATAATTTCGAGAGTAAATTACACAGAAAGACACATAAATCTCTCGAGATTTGTATCTAAATTTGGGAGTGAACATTAAAGAGCATAATTGACGTAGAGATACACAATTGATGAAGAAAGAGTTGAAAATCATCATTAGAATTTGGTGCCAAAGAACGACAATTACTAGGATTAATTTGCTTTTTATTGTATTGAATTTCGGTGATGTTTTTCATCATTTTATTATTTAATTTCAAAATTATGATTGGCAAAATTTCTTGATGTTAGGATAAATGATGTAGCTTAGGTTAATATTTATTTAATTCAGCAGATCATGCCAATTGATTATGTATTAGTTTCTTAATGTATGCTTAATTGACGTTCAATTTTTTAATCTCCAATTATATGGTTTAAGGATAATATTGAGATCGAGAGGAGATAATTTCTTTACAATTTTATCTTATAAATTGTACCAAGTTTTCATTTAAAATATAAATATATTAATTATTTCAATATTTGTGTATTTTTATGCTTGTAAAATATTTACGTTTACGGACCAAGGACGGCCCTGTTTTTTATATTGAATTGGTTTTGACAACAAAAAACAAGAATATCTTTTATTAACAAGACCTAAATTTTGATTGATCACGAATTAAGCAGTTATCTTTCTACTTCCTGCACTGATAACGTACGTGTTTCTCTTAGAATTCTTGGTGAGTTTCAACTTTATTCTTCGCCAAAAAAGAAAAATAAAACAAAGATTCCATTGACACTTTCTTATGCTTTACTACATTTTAAATTCTTATTCAACCTTTTCCTACTTGATCTTTGCCAAAAATGACATACCACAAATTGCGAAGAAAAATGAAAAATCAAGTATCTCCAAATTTTTTCTCTTTATTTTTTATTTTGTATTTTATTTTTTTGGGTGGGTTCCCATGATCTTTTCATTGCATGCACGCGTGTGATCATGTTTGGAGAAGGACGGGGCTGGGCCTCATGATCACTCAGAATACTATTAAAAGAATCAACAATCGTGCTATATGTACACTCTCCTCACACCTTGGTAGACATTCTTCCAGATGAATCCATCAAAATCATTGATTTTGAATTTATTTATCACGTTACTGTACAGATTTCTCCCACGTCTAAGGGAATGTCAACAAAGGTGTGAAATACAATGTACATCTAGCATAATTACGAGATATGAAAGGAGATTTAGTGGTTAGTACCCCAGCTGTAGTTTGGTTGTCAAGAGAATATAGTGAGCATAAAAAAATAGAAAGAAAAAAACTTTTAGGACAACATTCACATCAAGAATACATGTTATCTAAAGATTATAATATCCTTTTAGGAGGTAAACAATTTTATAATATCCATAATTTAATTATTGAAGTGGGTAAACAGAAGACCTTAGGATCGATCAAACTGCCGAAATAATTATATTTTGTGATTAATACCCGCAGTCCTTGTTTCCTTCACTAATGGGGCAAAATTATTCTCTCCACTGAGTAACATGTCCTAACCTACTAATTTCATCAGCAATAGGTAGTTGAGAATCAAGAAAATTCCCAGAATTTCTTCAAATCCAACAGGAAAAAGATGCAAAATTAGACCTTTTTCTACTTCAAATCCCAATACCAAACTCAATGCCTATAGCAGTCTTCAAAAAGGCAAGTTCCTTATTGATCCACAATGGCAAAATTAACAACGGAGAGAAACTTTCGAGGATTATTTCCGTAAACATTCAAGACATACACATCCCGACAAATAAACAAGGTAGGGGATAATGCAAGCTTTTGAAAAGTGAAAGTGAGATTTTGAGACCCAAAAACAGCTTTTGAACCCATTTGACTAATTTTATTAAAGTGCTTCTTCTATTTAGAAGAATTTTAAGAGAGAGCTGATTTATGTGGCTTCTTCTAAAAGTACTTATGGAATATGAAGTATTTTTAAAAATTAGTTTTGAAATAAAAATTAAAGTAACTTCATCCAAAAGCTCTTGTATAGGAAGCAAAAGCAAAAGCAAAAGCAAAAACAAAAGTAAAAGTAAAACTCATGCCAAACAAGCCCAAAGTAGACTAAAAACTCCTTTAGGAAGCGCAGGGTTGTGCAGCTAGGGCATACATTTCCTAGGTATTGCTCATCTGTAAACCCAATTATTCACAACCCAATTTGGCCTTGTGCAAGATGGTCATCAAGAGAATTTGACAAAAACATAATAAAAATTTCCACGCATTCGCATCTTTAATATCTTGCGACACAAAAACAATATAACAAAGCCTTAAATTTTAACCCAAGATAAATCAAAAGCAATCAGCAACCACAAATGAAACTATCGAACATTACAGCGAATTCGATAATGAATTAGTATTCACAACAATTATATATCTTGTATATGAAAGCAATCCATTTAAATAACCACAATGATGCAAGATGACACGACAAATTCCTCCATAAGCTATAGCTAGTAGAAGAGGTGTAATCAGCAGTTTACCACCCAAGATCTAGCCGGGTTGAGTGTTGCAAGAATCCCCAAGGTACAGGTGAATAATTCAAATTTTAACCAACTGTACACACATTAACCAGGATCCAGAAATCAAAATACCAAACAATACAACAAATATGATAGATATAAGATAATGAATTAGTATTCACAAAAATTATAAGTTGTACATGAAAAACAATACATTATAATAACCACAATAATTCACCAAACACCCAATCTCAAAAAAGAAGGGGGGAAAAAAGCAAGGTTAAAAAGCTGATAAATATTCCAAAGTAATAGAGGAATAGTAGTAATACTGTAGAAATCTCAGCCCCTGCAACGAGTGATGGCGCTGCAACCACGGGTGTAGGGATTGGCCTGAGCACCGGGACGGCAGTTGTAGTAGGAGGCGCCGCGTCGAGAGCAGGGGACTCTGTTCTTCTGGAGCGCACCATAGCTAATGTAGCGGCGAGTGGCTAAGATACGCCTATTGGACTCCGAATCGAGCTGGAACTCGTCCTCCTCCTCGTCGGCGTTTGCAAGGCACTCGGCTATGGTCCCTTTGCAGCCGGATCTCATCATTGGCATCAACCACCCCACATCCGCCGCCGCGACGTCGCCACTAGCCGAAGCTTGGGAAATCAACAGAGATTCAATTATGCAGAGAGTGAAAATCATTGAAGTCAAACTTCTTCTTTCCATCATATTCATCAGTGTTGAAATGAAATCTTTACTTGGTTTTTCGTGGAGTCTTTCACCCGGGTTTTTCTCAGACTTCCGATTGTGAGGTGCGGCTGTGCTCGCTCTCTCTCTCTCTCTCTCTCTCTCTCTCTCTGTATAGCTAAGGTGAGAAGGGGACAAATAGCAAATGTAAGTAGAAAGAAGGGAGTTGAATTATATATAAATGAAATTTGATTAATGGGTACCGACGAATACTTTTTTATTCATTTCTTTAAATTAATCACTTTAGAAAATTGAAAACGACCGTTAAGGTTTACATAGGACTTTTTTTGTTTTTTTTGATATCCAGGTATCCCAACTTACACCAGACTAAATTTTGGACTTTCAAGACCCATGTCCCTAGAACCTTGGAAGGGGTAAATCGCGGGATATGCCTCAACTGGATCACAGGTTCCCCCTATTGACTGTACACTTCTGCGTACAAGAGACCCTCCTCTAGAGTGATTGTTCCATACCAAATTTTTTGACCGCAGGTTCCCACCAGAAATCGAACTCTCCACTCTGCCGCTGGAAACAAGTCAATGTTGATTGATCCACCAGTTGAGCTGTGCCCCGGGGGCGGTTTACATAGGACTTTGATATTACTTTTTGGGGTTAATGGCACAAAACGTTTCTACGTTTGGCATTTATTGCGAAAAACGTATTTATGTTTCATTTTTTTACATTTTCGTCCTTATTTCAACGTTTCATTGCTAAAAACATCATTTTTCACCATTTTGAATGTAAAATGATTAAAATATCCTCCTATTTAAATAAAACAAAAAAAAGAAAAGAAAAATAATAATAAATTGCAATCTTACTCCTAAATGTTTTAAAAAATGCAAGTAAGTCCAAATAATTATTAAAATGCCTAATAGCACAAAATGCCCCTATGTTTGGCCTGTAGTGTGCAAAACGTACCTATGTTTCAAATTGATGAAAATGACGTTTTCCATAATGAAACTTGAAAATAGGAATGGAAATGCAAAAAAAATTGAAACGTATGGATGCTCTCAGCAAGAAGTATCAAAGATAGAGACGTTTTCCACAAGAAGTGTCAAACGTATGGATGTTTTGTGCTATTATACCTTATTAAAATTGAAACCATTACCAAACTGATGAACCTTCATACCATTTTCAAAATACCATCACCAAACTCCGGTGGCATCACCTATTCCGAAGAAATCCATGTCATTTCCAATACACCAACCGACCATACTCACCAGGGCGCTTCTTTTCATGATCTTTTTTTTTTTTCAAATGGGATTGCCGTCTTAGAAATGAAAAAACTCCGACCAACTATCGTCCAAATCGTCGAACTTCCATACAGCTGAACCATTTGTTGATGTTTTAAGACCATGAAGAGAAGCGTTCTGGTGAGTATGGTCGATTGGTGTGTTGGAAATTACATGGATATCTTCGGAACAGGTGGTGCCGTCGGAGTTTAGGTGATGGTATTTTGGAAATCGTATAGAGGTTCGACGGTTTGGCAATGGTTTCAATTTTAATAAGGTCTAATAGTACAAAACGTCCCTACGTTTGATACTTCTTGTAAAAAAGTCTCTGCGTTTGACATTTCTTGCGAAAAACATTCATGCGTTTCAATTTTTTTTGCATTTTCATCCCTATTTTCAGGTAACATTGCGAAAAAGTCATTTTCATCAATTTGAAACGTAGGGACGTTTTGCACACTACAGGCCAAACGTAGAGACGTTTTGTGCTATTAAGTCTTTTAATAATTATTTGGACTCATTTGCACTTTTTAAAATATTTAGGAATAAGATTGCAATTTATTCTTTATTTTTTTTTTTGTTTTCTTTTCTTTGGTCTTATTTAAATAGGAGGGTATTTTGATCATTTTACATTCAAAATGGTGAAAATGACGTTTTTAGCAATAAATTGTTGAAATAAGGACGAAAATGCAAAAAAATGAAACGTAGGGACGTTTGCCGCTATAAATGTCAAACGTATGGACATTTGTGCTATTAACCCTTGCTTTTTGCACAACAAATTTTCATTTTTAAGTATTTCTGAAGTGTAATTAACGCAAAAAGTTCTTATTTATCATTGTTATTGTACACGCGTCTTTATCTTTTATTTTTTTATATTTTCATCTCTATTTTCACCTTCCATTGTGGGAAAAGTAGTAAAAAAGGAACAAATAAAAAGTGCATATTTTGTTCAAAAGAAGTAATAAAATAATAAACAAGATTTTTAAATTTTTTATTTATTTTTTTTGTTTATCAGTGCAAACGATTGATGTATTTCCTCCCTTCTAAGTGGGCAATAACAGTATGCCCTGGCAAACCCAAGGGGGGTCATGTGACCCTCCAACTGTTGAGATTTTTTTTTTTTTTTATTGTGTGTGTGGATAACTCATGTTTGATATCGATTGAAATCTAAATTTTAATTTAAATCAAAATTAATAATTAATTTTAATATCATAATTCATAGAATCTTAACTTTTATCAAAATATGTTAAAAATCTGACTTTAACATCAATCAAATAAGGACAAAATCACAATAAAATTGAATTTTTTCTCTTTTCTCTTACTCTATCTTACGCCCACCATCACATCTTTTACCAAAATCTCAACTATTCTAATTTTTTAAAATTTCTCTATAATTTTTCTACAAATTATTACATATACTACAAATAAAAAGTGAAATTGGATGAAAATGACATTTTCCGTAATGAAATGTGAAAAAGAGGTAAACATAACCCAAAAAAATTAAATTGAAAGGTATAAATATTTTGCACAATAATATTGAAAGGTAATAACGTTTTGTGCTAATTACCATTTTCTTAAGTTTATTTACCTTATTTAAATTGATCACTTTTGAAAATTGAAAACAACCTTCGAGATTGAGATAGGACGTTGATATTACTTTTTGCACAACAAATTTTCATTTTTAATTATTTTTAAGTATTTTCTTAAATTAAATACCCAAAATGTTGTTAACAATAAAAACTTTAGAACCGTAATGCTTTATTTAGCATCCCGATTGGAGTTGCAAAGGACTCAAGCCGCTCCCTGACTTAGTGGGTTGGCTCGCGAGATCTTGGCTCAATTAGTTTCACATGAGCTCTAATTTTCACCCAGGCAAGATGCTCTGCCCATGCGTCGCCTTTGTCATAAAATTCAATTTTCTAAATATTTTTATAATGATTATAATTTTTATTTTAAATTTTTATAATATTTTTACAAAATTGAACAGGCAATAACTAGTATACAATTTTAAAATTTGCATAAATGAAATAAAATTAGTGCGAAGCATGAAAAAATGAGGAGGGTCTTTATTTCGTATTTAAATTCTGTTTTGAAGTTATGTCTAAAAAAATCCAAAAGCTCACAAGTTGGCACGACTCTACTCACCTAACGAGCCAAACTGAGTTGGCTAGGGCGATCCATTGTCATCTACTTCGTGATTTAAAAAGAAACAATAATCTTAAGTGTCTTGAGTTTCTAAGAAAATATACTGCCTAATCATGTCATGACACTAACATTTGCGAATAAATTGCTTTAAAAATCAATAGTAAATCATCCTGTTATATCATGCTTAGAGCTCTATTGAACTCAATATTAAAGTTTTGTAGTCACGAGACGATTAGGTAGCATAATTGTGTCAGTAAAATTTAATAACATTTGCAAATACTGTAATGTCCAGTGATCTAATTGCAATAAATTTAAATTGAGTGACATAATTGAGATTTCACTTAAAGTTCAGTGACAAAAATTGAGAATAATTTTTATTTATTTTAATGTGTTCTAGTGTGTATTCGGTTATCTTATTGAGTACTTGAGTAATTATTATTTACTTATAATTTAGCTACATACATAGGTTCAATCTCATCCATATAATTTTTACTATAACATACGAAAAGAGAATATTTAATTTAAAATCGTAATATTCTAATATCTTAGAACTTGTTTGATTTGGATAAAAATTAGATTTTTAGTAAGTTTTGGTAAAAATTAATGAAACGTGTAATTAAAAAATTGATGAAAGTTGTCAGTTCCTTAAAATGTATAATTAAAAATGAATTTGATAAAAAAAAAAAAAAAAAAAAGAGTTTCAAGAAATAATCAAGCTACATGTACAATGATAGGTTGAGATCTACTCTCCAACTTTTAATGTGTACACAATTAATTATAGACATATCATTTGGGTGGGGCAGGAGAGCGGGGTGTGTGAGAGAGAGAGAGAGAGTATTCAACAGTGTTAAAATAGTTGTTAAAGTGAAAAATTAAAATTGACAACATATCTATCCTAAAAAAAAAAAAAATATTGAACCCCAACCTTGAGGGCCCCCACCGTCCCGCCCCTAGAGCTTTGTGAGGGAGGTAAATCTCGGGATGTGCTCCAACAGGCCAGGAAACAAGAGCTGCCTGTACACTGCACCTACAAATGAGTCCAATTCCATGTTTCAAGAAAAAACCCTCACACTGCGGCTTCCAACAAGACATAAGATAATATCACTCCTATCCTTTACACCACTAAGCTATGCCCCGGGGACAACATATCTATCTATAATATATAAAAAATGTGGATGGTAGAGAAACTTTTAAATACCAAATTTGCCCCTACATATTTAACGATATGCCCACTATATCCTCATAATTGGAATACCAATTTAATTAGTATTTATCATTTGGTTTAGAATTAATATAACATAAAGAGTGAAATATTTAATTGATATTTATCATTTTGGATTGGAATTAATATAAGGAGTGAAACTAACATTCAATTACACACACACACAATCAGTGACTTACTGTTCAATTGACCATTTTGTTCTTACAATTTTTATTTTTCATCAACAACACCTTATTAATCTTCATGATTTACATTATAATTCATGCCATAAAATTTTAATCTTCATCAACAGAGTAATTTTTAATCTTCATCATTTACATTATAATTCATCTATTAAGTTATTATTTAATTGAGGTTACAAATATTTTAAAAGTTGCATTAATATATTAATGAGGACATTCAATGAATAAAAAAGAAATTGCACATGGAAATTCAATGACTAACATTCAATTGATTTTTTCTTTATAATTTTTAATTTTCATCAACAAAGCCTTTATTACCATTTTAATTAATATTTATTATTTGATTTAGGATTAATATAAGTGGTGAGATATTT